AAATTTTAAAATAATCTAGTAAATGGCTTAATGAACCATAGAGTTACTTCAAATTGAAGCAATGTAGCATGATAACTTATTTCAAACATGTTTTTCACAGTCTTTAACATTGAATATGTTTTGCTCATATTTATTCTATGATTTTAGTGCAGTTGGCTAGCACATTATTATTGTTAATTTCTATTTTTTGTAATTCAATATATTTTCGCGTTATGGTTTAATTATTCAAAATTTTTGTGTACTGATTTTATTAAAATAATTTTTTTTTTAATGTAATTTAAATGTTGGCATAATTTTTCATGTTAATATATTATCAGTCCCATTCAATTCCGGAACTCCTGTAGAAGCTTAGAATTTCCATAATCTTTTTAAATATAACTTTACTGCAGCAACTTGTTAGATTTGATTTCTGGTGCATCGAGCTGTTTTAGCTTACTGTCCATTGTCATTCACTATTTTAAGACAGATAGACTTAATTGTCACTTGCTACATCTAACGGATTTCATTGGAAAGCATGTTTGCAAATATTGTTATCAAACTTTTGCAGCATGTCCTGCTGTTTGCATCGTTATGTCTACTATTCTTCGCACTTGATTGTTATTGATTCAGGTGACCCTATTGGAAATTATATTAGCATATATAGATACAATATTAAGATCTTGCAGCATATGATTAAACCACTTTTGTCTCATTGTTTTTCACGACAATTCAAACACCTGAGACATTTATTTATGAACGATCGGAGGTTTTGCTTCGGTAAAAAACATATATTTAACGTTCAAATTAAAATAACACAGCTTCGTTTTAGTTTTAATATGATTTTACTACCATACTTTCAATAGTTGTCCAAATACGATTTTTGCCTTGTTTATATGATTTGCAGCATCTTATTCTGTTTTGCTAGAAGAACCAATGTTAGTTTGAGTATAAGAAAAATAATAGCTCTATAATAGCTCTATAACACAGCTATCTAGCTTAACGAACTAAGTGTCCATACCCGGAACTATAATGTTTTATAATGATAACTTCTATCTTGCTTGATCTAGAGGCACATTTGTAAGCAGAGAAATGCAGTGGACTCAACTTTTGCTATATGCCATTGAATACATACCTCAGGAAGCATATGTCGTTGCCGGGAACGTAAGACCCAGGTTCTCTCGGTGTTGGAATGGAGGCCATTCTATTTCCTGTCAATTAGTCGTTGACAAATTTAGAAAATTTTAATTAGGATCACTGTAAATCAGAAAGGTGACAGATTGCAATCTTTACCCACACTATACTTTCAATCCATTCGTTATGGAGGACCTGATACTTATAGTCAATATATAATTTCTTACTAAAATTTATTATTTTGCTCTAATTTTCTCTAGCTAAATCTTATTGGTAAGTTTATATTTTAATTAAAATTTCTTCTCTCTGTATTAAAGGCAATTATTCAAACATATTTTAATATGTACACTCGTGTTATTTTTATGCTAACCTTGCACTACTTTAAGGAAATATTCCTTCTATGCAAAATCGACAATTAAATTTTAGCATAACAAATTTTTTGCATTTTAAACTAAAAACTTTAAAATTTTTTATCCATGTGAAAATCCATGAAAATATTTTTAAAACTAATAAAATATATTGAAATGCTTACATTGAAATGTCACACAATAGAAATGCATAATCAAAATAGCATAAAATTGAAAAAAGAAGCTAAACATCATTCGTGGTAACCCTGTTATCTATCGTTTACCTAATCAACACAATTTTAACTGTAGAATTAAACATTTGGTCAATTTCGGTTACCAAAATCTGTTGAATCCGTTGGTGTCTCTCTGGTAAAAATTAATTTAGCTATAAATCTTCTAAAGATGCATGCACATGTGAGCAAATATTTACCCAGAAATTATGTATGCAAATGTAAGCAAATGCTCATAACCGTGTTTATGTTAATATTTGGGCATAACTCGAATATTCCATTTACTCGTATATACTAGTATACTTATATATACATATCGTTTATATATATTATGTATATGTGTTGCACGTGTTTCTAGTCCGAATAAAGCGCATCACATCAATACCCAACGACCTGCATTGATAAATTGTTATGAATGATTTTATTTAAATTGATTTTAGTATGCATTATGATTATATGCTTATTTAATTAGTTTTGGATACCCTATTACTGGCACTAATCGACATTTTAGATAGAAAAAAAAACAAAGTATAGTTTTCTTATGCATGAATCTAATAAAAAATTTAAATTTTAAAACCAGATTATAAAAATATACCTAATATAAGACTCTAACAACTTCTTGTCACTATTAGAAGCTTTTTTCAATAACTAATGATGTAGCTGTGTTTCAGAAGAAGTAAAGGAAAATTTAATCTATCAATCATCAAAAAACGTAAAAAACACGCCTCTGGTATGTCCGGACCCTCTATTCTGCTATACTATTAAACATATATTATACTAGTTAAAGATTCTATCAACTATTTGATTTGGTTCATGCCGCGGCTCAATTTGGTAATCCAATAAATTGAGCCTTCTAAGTCCTCTTTTCTGTTAGTTGGACCCATTACGTGGATGTAAGTATTTTTGATTGTACAATAAGCAGTTATGTTCTAAGCGGGATTTCCGCGTATGTAAAAAAAATCTAGGGTAGGCGGAGTATATTAACGATATCAACGGTATATTAAATCGAAGAATATGACCTTAAGTAATAACCCAGTAACTCTACCTCTGTCCTACTATTTTTATAACCAAATATATTATGGTTTCATATATAATCAAAAATATTTACCAATAATTTAAAAAAATTAGTTATAATTACAAAAAATTACATATAAATATACTCGTATCTACAAATATATCACTGCTAATATATATGTTACATGAATATAATTTTTAATTCTCAAGTAATTTGTGTTAACTAGTACCTTCCGGAGATGGGTCCTATAGATTCTGCAAAATGTAAAATAAAATTTTTGACCATCTCACACGATCGTTTCTGTGATTGTCGTGAAATGAGTTCAGTACCTCCATATGGTTTTCATTGAACATAGAAAGTCGAGAAATTTGATCCAATAATTGTTAGGTTTGCCTTCAGTCTTAATTTGTTCAAGTTAAGTAAATCAACCTCTTCGGATATAGGACAATAGTCTCATAGTTTGTAGTGTACTATAGTCTTCATCTGACAAAAAAAAAAGTTTCTGTTGGAAGGTTCACTAGTAACCTTTAAGATCTATTGCGCTAATGTGTATGTACATATTTGAGAGAACTGAATTATTAACTAACATATACATATAAACGGTATATAATATAACTGTATACTGTGTATTCACTGTAGGTCTTTCATTTATTCACTAAAGCAGTTTTCATACTGCTTTTCGCCACAAAATTTGTCTTTCATTCACATTTCATGACTTAATTCAAGCTCAGCTTAACCAATCAAGGTTATTGTACTCTACTAAAAGGTTTTGAGGAACACAAAAAAAAATTTTTTTATAAAAATCAAGAAAAAAAAAAATTTGCAAAAATATAAAAAAAAGGTATTACAACATAAAAATCGATGATTTTTAACAGCTGTTAACAGTTTCTTTTTATTTATAAACACTTTTTTATGCATTTGTTTTCACATATATTTTTTATTTATATCTTTTAATTTATATATACAAATAAATATTATTCCTATCATCAATTTTCTATGTATTTGAGAGCTGGAGGCGAGTCGAGAAGTGTTGAAATGCAGCCACCATGAATGTCAATCTCATTCGGTTTTTGTTGGCCTACGAATTACTCTTTTTTATTTAATTGTTTTATTTAAACATTAATTTTTTCCAAGTATTCAATTAAAACAAATATTACATTTGTTGTTCACTACTCGTACATAAATATTTGTTTATTAAATATTTACATTAAGACAATTGAAGATTGAAGAGAAGTAAACCTTTAAGCTACTTACTCTATGCGCTGAATAGTTTGTTTATGCGCGGAAAAAAAAATTATTTAAGAAAATTAATTATTTAGGGTATTATTTAAATCACTAATAAAGTTATTAATTATATTTTATTAATGTGGCTTAGGCGAAATTAGCATAAAATACCAGTAAAGCCAATTGATTATTCAAGAGCAAAGATTCGTTTTGGCTGCACATTTGTTGCTAAGCTGTCGAGTGTAGATTTAAGCTGATATTGACCTCAAAAGTTATGTGGCAATAGCGTAATTTAAGGTTGTTTTTTAAATAAATTTATTGCAAAGGGATAGGGATTTTATAATGTAAAATTCAAAGATATTTTCTAAGGAATTGAAATATTTATAAATATAAAATTTACTTTTAAATAGGCTAAGTGGAGTATAAGTGACTGGAGAAGGTGTCTCGTGAAATTAAAACACATTCATTATAGAAGTCCACAGATAATACTCGTAGTAGCGGAAGGATTAATTTATTTAATCAATTCTTAATATTATAAGATATATTTCGGTATTATTAGCTAAAATAGTTAGAATGATGAAACCAGAAATCGTAAGGAGAATGGTATAAATATATCAGCTTATTTTCAGGAACCTTTAATTTTAGTTAGAGGGATGATATCTTAGACAATTGCTTCCTTGACAAAATAGTCTCATAAAATAGATTTAAATAAGAGAAGAATATATTATATATAAATATTTTTTAAATATTTAGGCGCTGAACCTGTTGATGTTTTAGGCTAGAAAAGTGCCGTAGAACCCAGAAGTGAGTAAAAAAGCTCAGCTTTACTGAAAATAACTATTATCCTCCATGTTATTTACTTATTTACTTAATTACAGACGTGAGTCGTCCTTGGGTGCGTCGAATAGCCTCCGCTAGCCAGACCGATCAGTGGCTTGGCATCGCCAGTTGGTAGTACCGTGCGACCTAAAA